TCATTTATTGTAATAAAGCTGAAATAAAATACAAATATTAGGCAAAAAACTTAATTAGAAATATTTGACTTGCAACTAACTCATAAGTTAAAGTACTATAATTACTAAAACTAATATATTTCTATATAGCTTACAATAAATATATAGAAATATATATAAAAAGTAAGTCAAATCACAAACAGTGTGATTATGATGATTAAGTTGAATGACTGTTAATTGAATGATCAGTATGTTACTTGAAGCCTGTTGTTAACGTGAACTAAAACAACTACAAGTTGTTTTTATTGAAATAAATATTTAAAGATGATTTATACATTTTTAATTAAAAAACAAAAACCTAATAAAACAAACTAAAATTGAAATGAAAACATAACAATTAAAGCTAATTAAAAATATTAATAATTACTATAACAGTATATATACATAATACTAAAATAAATAATAATAAAACTGATTGAAACAAGAAAAAAAGATGAATTATGCAATAAAGCAGAGAAAGCCACAGAGTCTTTGTATTAAGTCAGTTTGAGCCGATCACAGCATGTACATTGATCTCACCCTTCAGACAAATACATTTACAATAAACAAATTAAACTCCATCACGTCCAATTACAGAAGACACAAACAGAAACAGACACACACGCTGAATGGGGATAAAAGGGGGCATATCACAAAATATTATTTTAAAATAAAGCTAATTATAATTAATATATACTGTAGACAAACCTGAACTCAAACCCTTTAAGTTAAGAAAACTTTAAGGACATTTACATGATCTATGAAGCATTTTAATCTTTCAAAACATCTCCAAAGGAAGATTTAAACCAATCGGGCGGAGCTTAGCAAAGGGTCAATTGAATCTAATGGAGATTTACAGTAGCTTGTTGCGAAGCTAAGAATGTGTCGCACAAAAAAAAAAAAAGTACTGTAGAATGATTTTTCATTAGATTGATCTATTTTCTGTCAGAACAGAGCACAACCAAAGGGTCAGTTTACTTCATTCGATTTCTCTAACTGCTCTTTATATACCTCCATCTCTCTCTGCTTTCAGAGGGAATTAATGGCTCGGAATAAGTTGCTGGAAATGTGTGTGAGTGAGAAACCAGACCAAACCAAATCAGAGAATGAGAGCGTTCCTGGCGTCTGCCGAGTCTCACTGTGGATTCATGTTTGTTTTGTTTGTTTGATTTGCTCATCGTAAAACCGCTCACATAATCCATAACTCGCAGAGAAACTGAGAGAAAGACAATCAGAACGATCCAATTACAATTCTGATTCCAGTTAGATTCAAAAATAGTGTGATGTCATCGCAGAACCTTTTAAATTCTACAAAGAACTTTTGATTCTCTAGGTTTTAGAAAACCATCAAAGAACCCAGAATCTAAAACAAAAAAAGAACCTATAATGAAACATCATGAATTTATAATCCGATGAACCATAGACCAACTCAAGAACCCTAATCCTATCCCTTTAAAAAAAATTATGTATCTTTTAGTAACCTAAGAACTAAGAACCTTTATTTTTAAAGACAACAACCCATTTTACCAAATATTAATTAGACAAGGGCTTGAATTTATCCATCAGGAATGGACTGCATTGTGAAAAGTGAACATTACATACCAGAATAGAGTCAGATCTGAATGCAGTCGATCGTAGGAAGGATGAAAATGTTGTTCTGGGAATCAGGCCATAATTATTTAACAGGATTTCCATGGTCGTGGAAAACAAATGCGACGGAATTTGAACATTGTGATTTCCAGACCTGAAAAAAAAAAACAATCGTGAAAAATAATCAAATATTCAAAAGGCATGGGAATTTCTGTAGTGTATTTAACATTTTCCAGTTACACTCTGTTATAAAATATTCAGTCAGCTAGAAAGTGCAATTTGTGAGTGCAGTCTGAAATGATTTTTACAAATCCTTATCCAGTAATCACAAAGAACAAAAAACATGAAAAAGTAATGGAAATTCAAAGGAAGGCTAAAACCAGGAAGGTGAGCGGGATATAAAGACTGAAAGTCAAGTTCATCCTCCAGAGCATCTGTACATACTGTATCCCAATGGAAACATGACTATTTATATTTGCTGTTATTGAAGTAACCTGTATTAATTTACTGCATTAACAAGTGGCAGGACTGTAGAAAAGCTACATTAGTCGCCTAAAACAATGATTATGAGCTATAAAATTGGGTCAGTTTTGAAGAAATGTTGACTTCAACTGCGTGAAGCCTGACATCTCTCTCTTTTTAAACGAAACCGTTTATTGAAACTTTAGACATAAAAATAAAGGCAAATGTTTGGACAATTACACTTTGCTAAAAAAAAGTATAAACTATCAATAGATGACAAGGCATGTAGTGGATTGTGTCATGTTGATCATTTAGAGGCTATAGAAATTGACGTATCAAATATGATACAGTAGGCTTTACAGAGTTAAGAGTGCACTGGAGTGTGTTTTACATTCTGAGCTGATATGAAACTAATCAGAGAATGTGAGCACAGCATTTGTAGACATACGTGAGAGGTGCGGGTAGCAGATGTCCCAGCTGCTCACAGGGCACTACAGAAGGCCCTTATCCCAGCAGGACCTCTGCTCAGGGGAACAAACACACACACCACACCACATGAAACACACCGATGATCCCACAGAAAACAACTTCAGAATGACTTAACAAGGTCATATCATGGCCAACTGGATTGTTCTTGCTCTTTTGAAATAAGTGCTTGACTCTAATATTGAGATTTGTTCAAACTAAACTGCAAAAATGACTCAGAAATCATTATGGTCATGACATCACAATCACATTACCATATGACCTACTACTTTTACATATCATATGAAAAGATCATAATGAAAGCTTATTTCCACCACAGAAAAAAAAAACTGAAAAAAAATAAATAAAATTGCTCACAATTCTGTTTATTAATTCTGACTCCTCTTCTCAGTTTTATATCTCACAATTCTGACTTTATATCTTTCAATTCTGAGAACCGCGAGGGATAAGTCCAAATTTGGAGAAATAAATTCATAATTGTGAGAAAATAAGTCATGATTGTGAGCTAAAAAGTCACAATTACCTTTTTTTTTATTCCATTGCAAAAATAAGCTGTTTGCATAATGTTGCCTCAATAGTTTCATTTTAGCAATTCTGACTTTTTTCAGAAATACAAAAAAATTAATAAATTGATACTTATAAACTTTCGCAATTACCTTTTTTTATATAACAAGTTTGTAACTTATAACTAGAAAAAAGTCTCAATATAAATTCTGAATTGCAAGAAAAAAGTTGCAATTACATTTTATTTTTTTTTATTTGTTGGAAGAAATAAACTTCTATAGATCATAGATGTTTTTCTAAAGAACTAGAGAATAAAACTGTTCTTTGTAAATGTATCGCATTAGACTGTAAATTGGAGCTTTTCAATCTGAGATTTTTATATTGCACATTGACACACAAGGTATAAATGATAAATCATAGACCACATCACACTCCAGACTGCCAGACAGCTCAACCTAGACCACTTTAGTACACACTAAACCACATCTTGGAAGAGCGATGGTGTCAGAGAACGAGGTTAAAGGAGATGGAGGGAAGGAGAAAGAGGGGGAAAAATGTTCACAGGCTGTGGAAAAGAAAAAGCGAGAAAAAAAAGAGTGTGTGAGAGAGATAGATGAGGGTTGGCTCAAGGTACAGGACGATGTTGTGAATATTTGATGCTGATGGATCCGTGTTCACTCCAGCGGAACAAACTGGATTGAAGCTCGACAGTAACACACACACACACACACTGTGCTGCTCAGGTGGAAGAGTCTAATTTAGAATCAGGGCCATTTGGTCTTACACAAACGCTCATTTCTGCTTTACTGGGCCCAATCTACAGCAGCACACCTGTGTTCATTGCTCTTGATGCATTTCCACCTGCCAACACACACTCACACCTGTAATTTATATCTCGGAAAACATCGGCCCTGCTTGAGTGCAGCTCACACAGGAGGTTTGAAATGCTTCTACTGGTCTTCATACTGTACTCATTCATTTCCTAATGACTTTGCCACATTAAATCATTAAATACCAAAATGTCATAACTGTCTAAAATATTTCTTCTCTGCCCTTTTTCTTCGAAAGTAAACATTTTGGAAAGTAAGTAATTAGAATCAAATTCACATGCACATTAATATAAAAATGGACATTTATGTTCACAATCAAATTCATTTTAACATTGATCAGTGTTATAGTTAATTAAAACTAAAATATTAAAAATAGTTTTAGTTAATTGAAATAAAATATAAATATTAGGTAAAAACAAATGTTAAAAATGTTGCCTTGCCAACTAATTGAAATGAAATAAAATTAAAATTGAAGTACAAAAATTACAAAATTTGAAATAAATATAGATTAAATTGAAATACCTTAAAATAGCACATACAATTACTAAAATGTAAACTAAAATACTTTTAGGTATTTGAAATAAATTTGAAATAAAATAAAAGTATTAGATGAAAAACTTTGAAATAAATAAAAAGCTAAATAGAAATATATTTTAAAAAATCACATAAAATAACTAAAACTTTAAATAGTTTTAGTTACAATGAAAATTAGAAATGTTAATAATGGCAATTAACTGAAATGTAAAAAAGCTGAAGTATTAAAATTGCTAAATTGGAATAGTAATAATAATAAAGGTAAAAATACATTTTAAAATATGAAAAATGTGACAAGCACTTAACAAAATGACTAGAAATTAAACTAAAATCTAAAAATAAACTGAACTGAAAAAATTTAAATAAACACTAATTCTAAATATTAATAAATACTATAATATTATATAAATGATACTAAAATAACACTGACGTTAATATTAACATTCAAATTGATGTTCAAATTCAATTCAAAATTTCAATTCACAATCAAAAACACATGAAATCATTCAGATTGGCTGTATTGGCAGGTCTGTATTACAGTACTGCTAAACGTCTGCCCGTCTTTCTGTCTTTCAGGTGTAAATGCAATCTCCACGCGTCTCAGTGTTTGTATGTGGACGGCAACTTACAGTGTCAATGTGAACACAACACGACCGGACAGGACTGCCAGCGCTGCAAAAAAGGATTCAAAGCCAAGACCTGGAAATCAGGATCATATTTACCAACACCCAACGGATCCCCCAACACATGTGAGTCAAATACACGTGTATTATCTTCCTTCCCTATGCCAAATGTTACAAAAAACACCTAAACACACACATAGAACCAGAGAAAAATCCCTAATTGTTGGTATAAAATGGTTATAAAATCAATCGCACCAGGTCTCCAGGAAGCAAATATCAGGTCCTCATGAATCAGATCAATCCATTTGATCATATTCTACTCCACAATGAAACAGAATTAATTATCTCTCAAATCATCCCGCACTACAGGACTCTCACATCTAAGCCCGTCGCACTGAAATCTCCTCATTATTTTCTGGGTTCAGAATTCCTCTGAGCTTCAGAGATCTTTACACTCCGACACACACACAGAAAGCAGACGGACGGTTATCCACCAGGATCTGATTTATCCCTGAAAATGTGGACAAAACGATCAGGAAGGACTCGCTTGTGAACTGAAATGAGAGATAAAACAAAAGCAAGACAAAGGGGAAAAAAGGCAGATGAGGACAGAGAGATAGAAGGAGAAACAGAGATGAAAATGAACACGAATTTCATGTTTCCTCCCTTCTGTACAGTATCCAAAGGGAGATCCTTTGGAACACAACATCCCTCCATTTTACAAGCAGCACTCATGATAAAATAATAATCTAGGGCAGCACACACACACACACACACACATGGGTGAATCCAGCAGACTGCAGATCTCAACTCGCTTCACTTACACACGCGAGCGCTGCAGAGCCTTTTAGACTTCACAGACCTGTCAGCTCACAGTAAGATCAAGACTGTTGGTGTGGCGGCCCAATTCCCAGAGAACAGAGAGGAGAGCAGCGCAGATGCACACCGCCACACCGGCATTCCAGCCTACAAAATGTTCCCAAACACACACGCACAGGTTCCTCTGTGGAGAAAACGGCCCAAATCTGCACTAATCACTGTCTGAACAGGAAACACTAGATCTGTTCCAAAACCTAGTGAGCTGCCTACCTAGACAGCTTTCCTTTGGTCAGAGATACCAGAATACCTCGATGCATTTCAACTAGCGCAGCAAGATTAGTTTCTTTTTAATATATGCATATATTTATTTAATATATGCTAATTCAAGTCAACATGAAATTAAAACTGACTATCCTTATTTTTCATGGAATATTGCAGTGTTTATTATAAATCAGTGTGTTTCACTGTTTCTTAATTTTACTGCCTTCATTTGGCCAAATTCTTTTGGCAAAAAAGGCCAGAATACCAAAATGCATTGCAACGAGCACAGTGAAAAATCGGATTAAAAATGCTGTTTGGGTGTTTTTATAATATATTTCAAATATATGCACATTTTTATTTAATATATGCTTATTAAAGCCAACATCAAAACTGATAATTCTCATTTGCATGGAATATTGCAGTGTTTATTGTAAATACATGAGTTTTACTATTTCTTGATTATGATTTATTTGGCAAAAAAGGCAATTTTAAAACTACTGTTTGATTATTTTATAATTCTCTAAATATATGCATATATTTAATATATAATCATATAATATATGCTTAGAGTCCGCATTACATTAAATCTGACATGAATGTCACAGTGTTTATTATAAATGAATGCATTTCATGTGTACGGCACTATTTCTTAATTATGCTGCCTTCATTTTGCCAAATTTTTGGCAAAATCGGCCAGAATACAAGAATGCATTACAACGAGCACAGTGAAAAAAAAAAACAGATTAAAATTGCTCTCTGATTATGTTTATGATCTAACTATTTAGTATATAATATTTAAAATATTTCAATTTTTAAATATTTCATATATGCATATATTTAATATTTATTTAATATATCCTCCTATGTATATATACTCTTGATGTTCCATTTCAGTTAGGATGCTCCCTTAGAAGGCAGCTGTCTATGTAGAAAGCACTCACTAGGTTTTGGAACAAAGCCCCTGACACACACTTTCTCTCTCTCTCTCAGGTTCTCAGGCGTTGGCTGGTTCTTCTTCTGGTTCCAGTAAGTACCGAACCCTCTTTCATCCTCTCTCCTCTCTCTCTGATATGTCAGTCATCCCTCGCTCTCTCTTTCTTCATTGTCTCTGTGCTCCATCCCTCGTTATGTCTTCTTCATTTTTCATGGGCCGCCCGTCCTGTGGCTTTCATCATCGGCAAACCGCTGAAACTAGCCGCAATTCAGCCTAACATCAGAGGGCAGGAGGAAGAAAGATAAAGAGAGATACAGAGGAAGGAACAGAGAGAAGCAGGAAAGATGACGTGATTCCTTGAGGGTTCAAACAGAATAAGAAATATTAGAGATTCACTCTGAAGACACGCCTACAGCATCACATGCACTAAACACACACAATATCAGCCCACATCTAAGAAGGGATTTCCCAGAAAACAACAGTACAGCTGGTGGGTCGATCTCAGACACAGCCCTACTGAAATTCACCCAAAAAAAAACCTAGTTACGGGAGTTATTGTTACAACAATAAAACTAAAACAATAAAAACTTGGTGTTGTTATTGTTGACTAGAACCACTAAAAATTATTTTTGTTAATTGAAATAAAAATAGAAATATTATATAAAAAAACTTAAAACTTAAAAACAAATGAAAATTAGAAATGTTGCCTTGGCAAATAACTGAAATAAAATAACTTTAAAATGTACTAAAATTGAAATAAAAATGAATTAAAGAGTAATGTAAAAAATTATTTGAAAGAACAAACACTAAATAATAAAAGTAAAAAAATTATAAAAATGGCAAGCATATAACAAAATTACTATCACTTAAAAAACTGAAAATATAAAATAAAAGCTAATTTAAAATATTAATACATACCATTAGAGACCTATCTTTCATATCCCATCATCAACTTGTTTTAAACGTTTTCCTAAATATGAATGATTTTCTATTGTGTGTAAATGTTTGTATATATAGTTCTTAATATTTTATTAATATAAATACTTATCAATATCAAAATTTAAATCAATATTTAAATGTGATATTTTAATTGAAATTAAAATATTTAAATGCATTTTATTTATTAATGATACAATAAAAATGAAAAATTTCCCAAAATGAAAGAAATTTATAGCGAGCTGGTTACCTAATGTTTATAGTGATTTTACAGTAGTAACAGAAACTATAATATCTACATCCTCAGAAGGACTATGTTTACCACAGTAAAGGTTTCTAATGGGTACCTCTACAAGAGGACGGTCAAGTGTCATTTCGCTACAAGTAGTTTCAGCTGTCTTTTAGATTAGATGCTCATTATTGCCGTTATTATCACATATACAGCAGGACACTGGAGCTGAGGATCCAAAATTCACTTTTTACCACACCTGACAAAAAAACATAAAAAAAAAGACACAAGTCTTAAAAACAGTGATTAACTGGCCAATTACTCACTACAGTTGCATTTGACGCTTGTTGAGTGTTAATTTTGGACCCTGGGTGTAGCTCCGTGAAGGTGGAGGTAGATCGAGGACGTGTTTGTATGCATGTGAACGTATTTCAAACACAGACCTGAAGGATCTCAAAGCACGTACAGTGGGGAAAAAAAGTATTTAGTCAGCCACCAATTGTGCAAGTTCTCCCACTTAAAAAGATGAGAGAGGCCTGTAATTTTCATCATAGGTATACCTTCAACTATGAGAGACAAAATTAGAAAAAAAAATCCAGAAAATCACATTGTAGGATTTTTAAAGAATTTATTTGCAAATTATGGTGGAAAATAAGTATTTGCAGAACGGTTTGCAAAACACATGCAGTTTAACTCTGCCAGAAAGTTTTCTCAAACTCGCTTGACTTTATGCGTTGTGGCGAAGCATGTTTCAAGAAATGCTGAGTAGATCCCTGCCTGTCCTGTCGCCGTAGTCATAGTCTAATTTTAAAACTGTCTGTGTTCCTGAGGAAAAGCACTTAGTGGAAGTGAAGCCCGGGACGCTGCGATGTCAGGACTTTAAGAGCGTTTGTGTAACGTCGTAAAGCTTTAAACGGCCTTCCAGCGACATGATGCTGATGCATCTGATGCATTCAGGAAAATGGGCATGATTCAGTACGGGAGTTAACAGGAAATTATGTCCTCAGAGCCACAGTAGAATTAAATTAAAAGGCAGCATAGCAGACAGAGTGTGTGTTAAAGGAATAGTTCACCCAAAAATGAAAATTTGTTGAAAAATTTACTCACCCTGAGGCCATCCAAGATTTCTTTATCAGATCAGATTTGGAGAAATGTAGCATTCTATCACTTGCTCACCAATGGCTCATCTGCAATGAATGGGTGCCGTCAGCATGAGAGTCCAAACAGCTGATAAAAACAAAACATCCCAGTAAGCCACAAGTAATTCACACCACTCCAGTCCAGCAGTTAACATCCACTATTAAGGTGTTTTTAACTTTAAACTGAGTACTCTATCCATAATCTCTGTCCAGTGAAAAGTTGTCTGCTCTGAATCAGGAGAGAAATCTGCACTGATCAAGCACTGTTTACTAGCCAAAACAGTTCTAAACAAATATGTGGGAGGATTTTGATGTGAGATTACTTTTTTTTCTGGAGGAAGCGTTATTATGGATTATGGACCCATATTTTAGCCAGAAACAGTTTGAAGTAAAAAAAAAAAGTCTTGATGGATTTCTTTCTTACAAACATGCAGCTTTTTGCTTCACAAGATGTTAACTGATGGACTGGAGTGGTGTGGATTACTTGTGGATTATTGTGATGTTTTTATCAGCTGTTTGGACTCTCATTCTGACGGCACCCATTCACTGCAGAGCATCCATTTTTTGAGCAAGTGATGGAATGCTACATTTCTCCAAATCTGTTCCCTTGAAGAAACAAACTGATTTCGGATGGCCTTAGATACATTTACAGCAAATTTTCATTTTTCGGTGAACTATTCCTTTGAGGCATCAACACATGGCTCTTTTTGGGTTGTGTGTGTGTGTGTGTGTGTGTGTGTGTAGCATATGGCCCAGAGAAATCAAACTCATAGATCATGTCCATGTTTTCTCTCCCCTGTAGTCTAAGGGTCCAAGGGTCTCCCACACAGGGGGAACAACACACACACAAGCACATAACATGCACACACCACACTTACACAAACACACACGCTCAAACGTACAAGAGAGGGAGCTGATATGTAGGCCAGTGTGTGTGTGTGTGTGTGTGTGTGTGTGTGTGTGTGTGTTCCTATTAATGTGTGCTGGATGAATGGCCTTCTGCACACACAGACGCAGGGATTATACGGTCAGTGTGTGTGTGTTCAGACAGGGATTACGAGGTCAGAGCGGCGAGTCTGATCCTCTGGCTGCTGGTTGGTCAGTTGGGCAAATAGCCACAAGAAGTAGAACAAACCAGTACACACAAACATTACAGGAAATGACATCACAGCAAAACACAGTCAGTGAATGATAAATTCGCTTTCATTCAGAAAAATGATCACGATTCAGATAAACATTCATTTTAAGTGAATGATTAATATGATATATACAAAACACACACACAAACATACATGATCTCTCCTCTTGACAGTCGTACACATGCATAATGATTTTGTGTCTTTATATGTTATCTTATGAACAACAAATAACAGGACATTATATGATAGGAAGAATAATCCGCATTTGACTTTGAATGGACTGCAGCATAAAATTAGACTCTGTCTTTAGACCTTGTGTTACTGTAGTTTCAGCTGCAGGTGTTGTTTTCAGATGCTTATTGTTCGTCTTTAATGCCAACAGTGACTGACACTTCAGCTGAAGAATTCACTACAGCTTTAACAGAAGCGCCAGCTTTGAACACAGGTGGGACAGTGTGACCCTCAAAGGCTCCCGTAGTTGTAGCGATAAGTAGTAACCTAGAATATAACGTGTAGAGTAATATACTAGGCGATATGAGGTACTATGCAAGTTGCTGCCTTAGTGCACTAGCAGAGCTTAATGATGATGTAATGTGCCTTAATCCAACAGAGCGCCATCTGCATCTACATGAGCGCACACACGCAAACACACATGCACAAACACATGCATACTGACAATCTGCATTAAACCGCAGCTTCATAATCTAACAGCATCTCACTTAAGACCTCAGATATTACAAATGTGCTCCGGTTAGATAAACTGATGACGCACTGGAGATGACTGAAATGACTGGCATCCTTTCTGTAATATGCTCAAGCAACATCAGCCACGTGTTTTTCTCATTCTTGACTTGTTGCACTGAACTGGCAAACGTGAAGACATTTTTATCTGAAATAAAATAGTACAAATATAACAATAACACTTATATATATATATATATATATATATATATAACATATAACACTGTATTTATGATAATAAAACGGCATGCACTGATTTAACGCAATAACTAAAGTAGTATTTTAGAAATGTGTTGTTACTACAAACTGCATCACATTTTCAAAAAATAGTGGGCAATATCAGGGTTGTGCGTCATTCAAAATAGAGTTGAAAATGAAATTCCAATTTAGCTTGTGAATTTAATGTATCAAACAGGATGAACTGCAATTCATATTTGAAATTTCAAAGTTGACTTTAAAGTTTATCAAAACAAACTGAATGTTTTTAGTTTAAAAGATTCTAAAAAACTTTAAGTTTAAAGGCAGTTACAGTAGATAGATAGATAGATAGATAGATAGATAGATAGAACGATAGATAGATAGATTAAAATATTCTAAAAGTCTAAGCTTGAAAGCAGATAGAATGATAGAACGATAGAACGATAGATAGATTAAAATATTCTAAAAGTCTAAGCTTGAAGGCAGATAGATAGATAGACAGACAGACAGACAGATAGATAGATTCTAAAAGTCTAAGCTTGAAGGCAGATAGATAGATAGATAAAAATATTCTAAAAGTCTAAGCTTGAAGGCAGATAGAATGATAGAACGATAGACAGACAGACAGACAGACAGACAGATAGATAGATAGATAGATAAATAGATTCTAAAAGTCTAAGCTTGAAGGCAGATAGATAGATAGATAGATAGATAGATAGATAGATATTCAAATTCACTCATGAATTGAAAGGGAGCCGATTATTCTGAATTTTGCACATTCCTGCATGTTAAGCAGTATGCTAGTACCCCGTTCTGAATATTTTAATACACAGATTGAACATGAATTGAATTCATAACCGCCTCTGCAGTGCAGAATGGGATTCCAGTTGACACTAGCGCCCCCCCCCATGTGCAAACTAGAATATATAAAATGCAAGCAGTTTTGTAACTAGCAGAGCTTAATGATGATGTAATGTGCCTTAATCCAACAGAGCGCCATCTGCATCTACATGAGCGCACACACGCAAACACACATGCACAAACACATGCATACTGACAATCTGCATTAAACCGCAGCTTCATAATCTAACAGCATCTCACTTAAGACCTCAGATATTACAAATGTGCTCCGGTTAGATAAACTGATGACGCACTGGAGATGACTGAAATGACTGGCATCCTTTCTGTAATATGCTCAAGCAACATCAGCCACGTGTTTTTCTCATTCTTGACTTGTTGCACTGAACTGGCAAACGTGAAGACATTTTTATCTGAAATAAAATAGTACAAATATAACAATAACACTTATATATATATATATATATATATATATATAACATATAACACTGTATTTATGATAATAAAACGGCATGCACTGATTTAACGCAATAACTAAAGTAGTATTTTAGAAATGTGTTGTTACTACAAACTGCATCACATTTTCAAAAAATAGTGGGCAATATCAGGGTTGTGCGTCATTCAAAATAGAGTTGAAAATGAAATTCCAATTTAGCTTGTGAATTTAATGTATCAAACAGGATGAACTGCAATTCATATTTGAAATTTCAAAGTTGACTTTAAAGTTTATCAAAACAAACTGCCCCCATGTGCAAACTAGAATATATAAAATGCAAGCAGTTTTGTAAAGCTCAGCACTTTGTGTGTGTGCGTGTATTCCATGCTGACTCTGGTTTCTCTAACCCGTTTCTATTACACTCACCCCGCAAATCCCATTAGATGCCCCTCCTGAACACCACTTCCCACCAGCTGAAATAGAGCCTAAGGCACTTTATACCACTATGGAAGCCCCGCCCCCTACCACACCCCCTTCTCATATTCTCAGTGAGGACACACACCACAAAGCCACACCCCTGGAGGAGGGGCCTGTTCACGCACATATAGAAAGCAGAGGTAATTTACGGGCACTAGTTTGTATGTGCTAGTGTTGTTAGTATGCTATAGAAGCATCTTTCAAACAGTCAGAGCACTGTAGCCAAGCCAAGAGCTCAGTGACTCTGCTGCCAGTAAGTCATCTACTCAAACGTACCCCTAGAGGATTGTGGGTAATGGCTCCAAAGCAGTGTGCGCAGTGGGAAATCAATGCTCAATTAGACAGTGTTTTCCCCTGTCAAAATATAGAGTGACTTTGCATCTTTCAGTGCAAAGCGGATTAGGGCGGCCTGCGAATATATATAAAACAAAGAACCACCACACACACACACACGCGCGCATTGATCGAAGCGCACATACGCACCCGAGGAATGAATACTGCATGACGTTTAACGAGTGAACGAGAACTCCAGCTTGAGCTCAGATCAGAAAACGTCAAGCTGGCATGAAAAAACGGAGGGGGGAATAAAGCACTCAGCTGAGACGCGAGACAGAGCAGCTCCTCGGATGGATTTAATAAAGGTGGAGATCTTTGAGATTCCCAGCAGGATACGACATACGTGTGTTGATGAAATTACAGCATGGTCGTTGTTTACACGCAGGAGTGTCTGTGTACCTCAAACAACACCAATCTGTCATTTGAGATTAATTGCTGTTTGGTTTGTCTGTTTAACGTCATATGCCACTTTTAATGTGTTTAGGTACTACATACACCCTTGCAACCAAATAGAAGATCACTCAGAAGGGCATTCACTTTAGTTTGAAACTAGATTCAAATTAAGACTCACATCAATAAAGCACAGACATAAATGAAACCAATAACTGCTCTTTAGATGTTTCCATTACACAGCTGATTCCATGAAATGCAAAGAAAACAAATGGGTAAATGATTATGTGACTGAAAGATAAGCTTAATATTCATGAGATGAATAAAACTAAAAATTACTAAAAATATTACATACATTAAAAAAAAATATATATATATATATATATATATTTCTAAGAGATTATTTCCGAAAATCTCTTATTTTCTAAACCTGGTCTGACTGGTGATTGAAAGTGCTGCACAAAGCAAAATTTTATACAAAAAAGTGGTAAAGATAACGGTCAAAAAAGTAGACAACGAAAATGAACACACAAAAGAAGAAGTTAATATGTAATTTAGATTATTTCATTCAGATGTGACTTCTTGTTGGTTCTTTTTGGTGTTATGTCATTCTGACATAGCAAGATTTTTAAAGCCCTATAATGCCTAAGTGACATTTCCTTCTTTTTGATAAACTACAGTTCCTCACAGACATAATCACCAACCCAAGCACCCAGGAAAAAACATGTTTCCTGTTGAAAAAGAGAGGACACACCACGGAGAAATTAAGAAACAGCCCGTCAAAGGTATTGTTAGGCCATCAAGAGTTCTGGTAGAATTCTATTATTGTGGTAGATGTGGTTTTGGTGACCTTTTCCTAACCTGTAGTTAATAATGAAAAGTGTAGTAGAGACCACAGAGGAGTTTTGTGGTCTATGGTTGCTATAGATTAAGATCATTGTGATTGAGTATAGTGTGAAAGTGATGAATGTACCTATGATGAATGTACACAGGTTGTTATTTCTGGCTAGTCTGCTTGGTGTTCAATAGCTGTTTGTAAAGCACAACACGGTGTATGTGTTTGTGTGTACATACTAATTTTGTGATTATCTGAATGATTGCACCCAAGCATTCCCTATACCACCCCCAGTAGAGGATTCTGGGAAGGGTGAGGAGATTTCTGGGAGGAAAGAGAGGATTTCTGGGAAGCATGAAGAAGAGTCTGTTGGGCCAATGCCAGAATCTGCGGTGTCAATTCCAGAGCCTGTCAAGCCAATATCGGAATTTCATGAGCCAATGCATAAATATCATGTTCATAACTCAATAACATCCAATATGGTTCAATATCATGAACCAATACCGAAATCTCATGATCCAATAGTAAAACTTCACAAGCCAGTACCAGAATCTCATGAGCCAATAGTAAAACCTCATGACCCAATAATGAAACCTCATGAGCCTATGCATAATCCTCATGAGCCAACAGTAAATCGACATGAGCCAATAGTGAATCCTCATGAGCCAATGCATAAACCTCATGAGCCAACAATGAATCCACATGAGCCAATACTGAAACTTCATGAGCCAGTGCATAAAACTCATGAGCCAATAGTGAATCCTCATGAACCAATAGTTAAACCTCATGAGCCAGTGCATAAAACTCATGAGCCAGCAGTACACCATTATGAGGCAGTGCATAAACCTGATGATCCAATAGTGAGTCCTCATGATCCAATAGAGAATCCCCACAAGACGATGGCGAATCCTCATGAGCCAATGCTTAAACCTCATGAGCCAATAGTGAATTCACATGAGCCAGTCCATAAACCTCATGAGCCAATAGTGAATCCTCATGAGCCAATGGTGAAACACCATGAGCCAATGCATACACCTCATGAGCCAATAGTACATCATCATGAGGCAATGCATAAACCTCATGATCCAGTAGTGAAAACTCATAATCCAATAGTGAATACTTACAAGCCGATAGTGAATCCTCATGGACCAGTAGTACATCATCATGAGTCAATGCATAAACCTCATGATTCAATAGTGAATCCTCACAAGCCGATAGTGAATCCTCATGGGTCAGTAGTACATCATCATGAGGCAATGCATAAACCTCATGATCCAATAGTGAAAACTCATGATCCAATAGTGAATCCTCACAAGCTGATAGTGAATCCTCATGAGACAATGCATAAACCTCATGAGCCAACAATGAATCCACATGAGGAACCTCGTGAGCCAATGCATGAAGCTCATGAGCCAGAGAAACCTCATGAACCAATAGTACATTATCATGAGTTAATGCATAAACCTCATGATCCAATAGTGAATTCTCATGACGCAATAGTAAATACTCACACACTGATAATGAATCCTCATGAGACAATGCATAAACCTCATGAGTCAATTGTGAAACCTCATGAGCCAATTGTGAAACCTCATGAGCCAATGCATAAAGCTCATGAGCCAGAGAAAACTCATGAGCCAATAGTACATCATCATGAGCCAATGCATAAAGCTCATGAGCCAGAGAAACCTCATGAGCTAATAGTACATCATCATGAGCCAATGCATAAACCTCATGAGCCAGAGAATCCTCATGAGCCAATAGTACATCATCATGAGCCAATGCATAAACCTCATGAGCCAATGGTGGAACCCCATGAGCCAATGCATAAACCTCATGAGTCAATAGTGAAACCTCATGAGCCAATGGTGAAACACCATGTGCCAATGCATAAACCTCACGAGTCAATAGTACATCATCATGAGCCTATGCATAAACCTCATGAGCCAATAGTGAAACCTCATGAGCCAATGGTGAAACACCATGAGCCAATGCCTCATGAGCCAATAGTACATCACCATGAGACAATGCATAAACCTCATGAGCCAACAGTACATCATCATGAGGCAATGCATAAACCTCATGAGCCAGTAGTGAAATCTCATGAGCCAATGCATAAATCTCATGAGCCAATTATACATCATCATGAGGCAATGCATAAACCTCATCAGCCAATAGTACATAATCATGAGGCAATTCACAAACCTCATGAACCAATAGTACATCATCATGAGGCAATGCATACACCTCATGAGCCAATAGTACATCATCATGAGGCAATGCATAACCCTCATGAGCCAGTAGTGAAAGCTCATGAGCCAATAGTACATCATCATGAGGCAATGCATAACCCTCATGAGCCAGTAGTGAAAGCTCATGAGCCAATAGTACATCATCATGAGGCAATGCATAAACCTCATCAGCCAATAGTGAAACCTCATGAATCAATATTAGAATCTCATGGACACATACCAACACAGCCAAAAAGGGAATCTCATAAACCAGTACCAGAGTCAGAGACAATGCATGGATCTGTGCTGCCAAAAGTAGAGACAGTTTCATCAGTACACATGCCACATGAATCAGTACCAAAGCATCACATCTTAGGACCAAAACATGAGGATATAAAGTCAGTACTACAGAAACCAAAGGAGTCAGAAGAAGGAAAGTCAAAAGAAGAGGAGGAAGGGTCTCATAAACACACAGCTGTTGAAGGTATGGCTCAGCTGGTAGTTTCAAACGGCCTGTAGTACAGAATGTAGTATAAACCTGTGGATTGCTCAGTTCTTCTCTTTGCTCGTCTAGATCCACACAAACACTCAGAAGAGCATGGTAAAGGAGAGGGTGAAGTAAAACCCATTCATAAGTGGGAGAGAGAAGATGAAGAGAATAAAAAAGGTATCCATGGTGTGAGGTCAACTTAGAGCACATTGTGTGGCTGGTTAAGTCTATCACTGCGTATGCATAGTAGTCATTAGAATCCATATTAGCAAGGAGCTGCATTAACTTCTGTAGCCTGCCACTTTAGACTGTATATATATTATAGTCTATATGGTTGCTAGTGATTTTTTGTCCCTGTTAAATGTCTCAAACAATGATTCTATTCCCTCCCTTAAGCATGTGGATGGATAGCTGGAGATTTGCTTGTCGTAGACTCGATTTGCTTTGCTTGTCGTAGTAGGTTTCTAGATGAACATATTGTAAAAAAAATAAGACTTTTCATTCTCTGAAGCTCTTCTAAAGTTCTTACTATCTGGAGGGCAACAGACCGTACAGCTAAAAGGCATCATATATGACGACTTCAAAGGTGAGAAAGAAATTAAAATGAGCTAAGAAAAGGTAGAAAGAGATTTCAAAGTACAATGTCACAGTATTTAAAAGAATGGGGGAATGTTCTAGATAGAAAACTTTAACATTCTAGATTCTAGAACCTTCGACTCAAATGGGTTCTAGAGCTCACCGTAGTTCATACAATTTAAACACTAACATGCTTTAGTCTCTAGAACTGAAGTTAATGTGTTGTGTGGAACTGTGAGTTGTTTAGAAGCACTAAGTAACTAAATAGTTCTACTCAGAACGTTAGTGTTTCTGAATTAATTACAATTTTTCATTTAGCAGATACTTCATTGATGTACTGTAGAAATGTCATGCTGCCGCATTTTTTTAATGAATCAAGCAGAGTTATAGAACACAGTACAGAATTTTTCAATAGACCTTAGTCAGGGTACCATCACATTTTAGATTTTTTTTTTTGCCTTTATTGTGACAGGACAGATCAGAATTGACAGGAAGTGAAGTGGGACAGAGAGGGGGGCGGGATCGGGAAAGTTCCTCGAGTTATGATTCGAACACGGGACGCCCATAGCGTAACAGCACTGTATTTCGGCACACTGCCCTCAAGGCTATCGGCGCAGACATATTTAATTTTTGACAGGAATGAAAACAAGGCTGTCAGGGATAGAAGTACAGTGTTTTCAATCGATTGTACTGTTGTTTAAGAACATACCGATTGTCAACTGACCAAACATCTTTCCAAAAGACTTTCAGTAGACAAAAATTCCACACAAAAAAGCGTTGAAAGTTGTGAAAATTATTTGTGATCTTCATACAGCACATGCACTCACAGCCTTGTCTTCAATATGCCATTGAACTTACTAAGGTCTATAATTGGGCTTTAGTTCAATGGAGGTACAGGTAACTGTGCAGAGTTCTAGAACACGTTTCAGTGGAGATGTGAATTAATGGCTAGTACTTTAGAAAGTTCTAGAACACGTGATGTTGAGCGTTCAAAAACTAAAGACTCGCTGAGTTTGATGTTTCTCAGCATGTCACTCCCTCTCTCCAGCGTTCTAACTCTCATTAATCCCTTCATCCCTGCTTCTCAATATAAATGTGTGATATATAAGGTAAGTGTGTTGTGATCAGCTTGTGTGTGTGTGTGTAACTCTCATTTATATTTCATTGATTTGCCTGTTCCTATGTGCTGAGACAGGCTCTGTACTGAGTTCTCGCTCTCTGGCTTTTAAAGTGCACATAAATATTTGAAAGGCACGTCTAAACTGATAAACAATTCTGAAATAGCTAAGAATTCGTAAAGCTTATTAAATGGTCTGGTTAATATGCATTTACACATGCATTTGTATAAGTTTACTTGTATATTAAATTGTTGTGCCTTTAATTGTGCTCAAACTGACACATACTGCAATTGCAACATCAGGAACATTAGATTTAGCTAAAAAAAATTAAAAGTACTGAATTTATTTGAAATAGAAATCTTTTGTAATTTTCTGAATGTCTTTACTGTCAATTTTGATCAATTACATGCATCCTTGCTCAACAAAAGTAGTACTTTCTTCCAAAAAATACATCTTACTATGTACACCTCCACTTTCTAGAACCTCGTATCTGTCACGTTGAGGTCAAAATGCTGTGTAACGCTTGGCAGGCACCGGGTCAGATTCTCAAAAAGAGCGACACTGAATGTGGTTCATTGATGCACTAGACACTGATTCGCTGTGAGTGACAGAAAGAAACAGACATGAGAGAAAGATACAGGACAGGTGTGAATGGGAACTGGGAGAAACCCAGCAGTTTGACAAAAAAGATCTGCTTCAGAAGACGGAGAAACAGCTGTTTTAGAAAAACATCTGTCATCAGATTTCCCAACATCCCTGGAGCACACGCACACATACACACGCTTACAAACGCCACACACACATACACACACACGTGCACGAGGTGTGGGAAAGACTCCCGTAAGAGTGTGTGAGATATCGCCCTGTCAGCAACACACACAACACCCACACACACATCTTCATTTCAGCCGTCAATACTTTGGGCGCAGCAGGAAAGACACAAAGTGAAGCAAAAAAAAAGAGTCAATAGCTCTTCATTGATTCAGCATTGAGATTGATGTAGTCTGAATGTCATACTCTAACATTCACACCACAAAACTTCCTAGTCCACCCAGAGCATTTAAACTAAACTGCAAAAAATCGAATCGAATTTTTAAAATCATCATGATTCTGATGTCATAAGCTCATTAACATATACCCGCCCACATTAAGTGCCGTATTCAGCAGCTTGACTGACATTTCGCATCCCATTTCATCTCATTATCTCAAAAACCAGGAACTCTTCTGACTGACATTTTGCATCCCATTTCATCTCATTATCTCAAAAACCAGGAACTCTTCTCTCTCTTTTAACCCTTCTTTACTTTAAAATGTAAAGTGTTGACGTCTCTCTCTCATTGTCAGATTGTGAATGTAACGGACACTCGAATCGCTGCAGTTACATCGACTTCCTGAACATAGTCACGTGTGTGAGCTGCAAACACAACACGCGTGGTCAGAACTGCGAACACTGTCGCATGGGCTTCTACAAAAACACCTCTGCAGAGCCTGATGATGAGAATGTGTGTATCGGTGAGTAACGGTGTACGTTTTTATATCTGAAATGTGCACAAATGTTGTGCAAAATAAATTAAATCACTGGCTCAAGCAATACTGTATCTCAAACAGTATGAATGGCATTAGCAATGCCAAGGTCACGGGTTCAATTCCCAGATGCTAGAACTAATAAAAAAGGTCTTAAATACAACCCGTCGAAATAAATGTTGAATTTAACTTTAAGAAATTATGACAGAAATATAGTACCATTTTACATTACAATGTACTTCTCAAAAGAAATAACACTATTTTTTAAAATTTAAACCTCTTTTGTGTAGGTTTGTTTTCCAGAAATTAAAAATAATTTTTCAATTTTCGTTTGATCACATTTTAAAAGATTAATTAAATAGTTTTTTAAGCCTTGATTTGATTACCACCATTTCTGATAATAAGTGTGTACAAAATCAAGTAAAATTAAAACAGAATTTCTGAATGAATAAATAAATACAAATAAATAAATAATGTAAAAAAATCACAGTTCTATTATTGTAAAAATTTTAATAAATTAACAAGTTGTTAATGTTTTATGAACTCAATTAATTAGACGTGCTTTTAAATTCTTAACATTTTGATTAAACCATTAAAACAAAATTCAGAAAAAAATATCAAGAAAAACACTGAATTTAGGAAAATTAAAACAGATTTTTTTTATAGGGCCCAAAAATGTTTTATTAAAGTTTTGTTAAACTTTTAATAAGTTGTTTTTGAATTGTATACGTTTCATAATTTCAATTAATTAGACATGCCTTTTGATACCTTTTGAAAATGTAATGTAACCATTAAAACAAAATTCAGACAAATTAAAACAGGGAAAAAAATGAATCCTGAAAAATGAAAGCAAAGAAAATATAATTTGTGAAAATATAAAACAGAATATGAGAAAAATAAAAAATTATCATTGGGCCCTTTTAAAAGCTGTTGTACATGACCTTAATCTAATAGCAATGTCACAATTATTTATTGCCAATTACTGCAGAGTGAACCATACTTGATGAAATTGAAATATTTACAATTACAACACACAAAATTACAATATTTAATGCATCCACTAAGGCCGTAAAACTGAGGAGGGCAGTGCTATACAATGCACAGTCTTTGGTGGCTGATTCCTTTTGTCAGTTTTAGACACTAAAAGCAATTCAGCAAAAAATGACTCCGATTACGAGCGTTAATCTTTAAAGAGCGCCTGTCCCAGCAGTCAGGAATCTACATTAAAAAAAATAAATAAAAAATACCTAAGGAGACAGGAAATCCCTCTAATTGAAACAAAAAGAGACGTACTTGGAGAAAAATACTAAGGACGTAATCAGTAGAAAGTTATACACAGACAACTGAATAAGGGAAGAAAGAAAGAAAAAATGCAAGATGAAACAAAACTGCGCTGGACGCCACGGTCAGCAAAGTTAAACTGCAACATTATCATCCTGGGAGCGTTATATTAGAGATTCCCAGCGGTCCTCAAATAAACGTCCAGAAATAAACCCGGATGTGACAGCTCTTAAATCAGTGCGACGCTGAGAGTACCAGGATGGAGAAGGAAGTCCATCTGCCGCATGAGGAGGCAGGGCGCGGGGTAAATGAAAGCGTGCTGTGAAGTCAGCACAAATGAACTCGCCCTCATCGGGTGTGCGCCAGGTGCCAACATGGCACAGGATCAACACCCAAGATCTCCGTGAGGAGAACATTTACCTCATTCTGAGCTCACAATAGCACTGAGTTTACAGTGTCTATTTTCAGGAGTTCTCACGGAAGTGCAGTAATTCGTTCTAATGCAGTTGGCTGCAGCCCAATGCAAAATACTGATGTGTATAAAAATATCGGTAGATAGTTTCTAAAAATAAGAAAAGATCAAAATGATTAATTTGCAGCTACCTTACACTATAAAAGTGATACAATACATTAGATCTTCAAACAACAAAGTACTTATGAGATAACAGATGTTAGCATCATCCTGGTTCCCTCGACAAAAACCAATAGGATTTCTCCATCGCCTTTTATTTATTGCAGAAAATAAAATCTGTGACATAAAATCATTTATGATTCTTACACATTTTTTTCATCATGATAATCTTCAGGGTTTCTGCAGGTTTATGAAGGTACAGTACATTTAAGACTTTATTAAAATCTTTATAAGACCAAGTAAAGAACACAAATCTTGATTTAAGGATGTTTAGAATTGTATTCCTTTTTTTTTTGTGCAGTGTATGCAAAACTTCATGCCATGGCTTTTTTAAGGCTTGTTGCACCTATTAAGACATTTTAAGGCCTTATTTTGTGGAAGGGCAAATTAAGACCTTTTTAAGCCCAGCAGAAATCCTGACTTCACGAATGAACACAATTTTACAAATTGTGAAACCTAAATACAAACGCCAAAAGTAAAAAGCTAAACTCTGCGTTTGTGTTGACCACAGACCTTATTTCAGCTATTTACACAAAACCCACTGATTTCATGATGATGGAATTGGAAGTGCTAAAGTGCGGGTTTCGGCCCGCAAAAATACATCATCCCTACAGCACTCCTATACCCAGCTATTTTTAGATAACCAAAGAGACGGGAAATGCAGTTTGGTCAAGTCTGTCTCTTCATAATCCAGCTAAATGATTTTTTTTTTCTTGCACAAAATGCATAAAAACTAAGCTGTACCATCAACATTCACAATTATAGTTTATAACGATTAATGCCAATTTTCTTATGAGTTTAAAGAAATGTTCAAGTGTTTCCTACTGTTAATTAAGATATAGTGTGAAGCAAGTTCATTCAACTTATAAATACCATCATTCCAACATAGCTCGAACACAACATAAAACTATACTGTTGCTCAATATTAGATGGCCGACTGATATATCGGCCGATATTTGGGATTTTTATTTTGACAGCACTATAACGCCAGCATCTGAATGCACAAAACTCCCATTCTTCATCTTCATTAGTTTATCGCCATATTGTTCATCAGCCACCCTGCTCTCTAAGGCTACGTCCACATGAAGCCAGAGCTTTCCCTATCCGATCTTTTTTTTCCCCTCGTCTCAAGAAATATCTGCGTAACGAAACCACAAAACCGACACAAAACGATGTAGTATACATGCCAGACCAGTATGTGGCACTGTAATTCTGCCACAGATACACTAAAAACAGAGAAGAAGACTTGGACTATGCGCATAAACCTTGCGCGCGGTATACAAACGAACATGGAACAATACATTTATTAATCTGTGTTAATGTTAGTTAATAAAAAGACAATCGTTCAGTGTTTGTTCATGTTTTTCCTATACGATACAAAATGTATGCGTATACAGCTAAACGCGTCTCCGTGTGGACGGGGCCTAAGATATCAGCAACGGCCATCAAAACATCCACATTGGTCGACCACTTCTCAATATAAACAAATAGCATACTTATTCTTTCTAACCACAAAAAAGCAACTACACAATGCAAACAAAGCTTAAAAGTTCAACCTTTTCCCCCCTAACTAATTCTCTCTCTTTCTTCTCAGAGTGTAACTGTAATACGATGGGCTCGTTGCACGACCGCTGTAACGGTACCGGCTTCTGTCAGTGTAAAGAGAGCACTACCGGAGTCAAATGTGATGACTGTCTCCCCGGTTACTATTGGAAACAGGGCTGTTTCCGTAAGTACCTCCCAGATTCATTAGCCACTTCCTAATCAGACTTCATTCAACTCTACAATCTAATTAACAAATCAATGTCAAAGTGTGCAATCGCCTCTCCATTCTCCTCAGCCAATTTCAAGTTTAAATCAGATATTAATTGGCTCAGTCCTTTACAAGGCTTTTGTTTTGTTGCCGTTTGAAATAAAAGTCACAGTGTAAACAATATAATTACTAGTTCTAGCTTGCAGTCATAAGTTTTTACACAGTGGAATTAAAGCGGCATTAATTCTACTTTTGAATGACAGAGAAAGGAGAAAGAAGCTTTAAAGGAATAGTTCACCCAAAAATGAAAATTTGCTCACCTTCAGGCCATACAAGATACAGATGAGTTTGTTTCTTCATGGGAATTTAGAGAAATGTAGCATTGCATCACTTGCTCAGCAATGGATGCTCTGCAGTGAATGGGTGCCGTCAGAATGAGAGTCCAAACAGCTGATAAAAACATCACAATAATCCACAAGTAATCCACACCACTCCAGTCCATCAGTTCAAGTCTTGTGAAGCCAAAAGCTGCGTGTTTGTAAGAAACAAATCCATCAAGATGTTTTTAACTGCAAACCATTGCTTCTGGCTAAAATACAAGTCTTTAATCCATAATATTGCTTTCTCCAGTGAAAAAGTCATCTTGTCTGAATCAGAAGAGAAATATGCACAGATCAAGCTCCGTTTATAAGCCAAAACAGTCCAAAACAGCTCTAAACGAATATATTTTGTTCTGAGAGGACAACAGGGGATGAACTTTCTCACTGGAGTAAGCGTTATTATGGATTATTTCACTTCACAAGACGTTAACTGATGGATTGGAGTCGTGTTGTGGATTATTGTGATTGCTTAAAATGTGTAGTCACACCATCTACCAGCAATGTCACATTTTGACACTGGGCTACTAGTGACCATTTTACTTTCTGTTTAAAAAAAAATTAGCACGGTTTCTGATTCAAATGTTGGAATTTGTTCCAAGTTGTGTAGCACAAAAAAGGGGTGTGGTCTCATAATGAAGAGGGCGGGATTCATTTGATTTGACAAGAGTCTGACCCCTTCTCACGACGCATTAGATATTTACCGCACATCAAAACAGCATATTACTGGTGTCTAATGGGTTTGGCTATTTGTGTATTCAAATGATGTGCTGCCATGCAGATTCTAAGCAGCCCTTGTTCATTGGAAACTGGTTTGTGGGGTAATGATCACATTTGTACCTGGATTCCCATGGTGATTCTAGAAGCCCTGCGCACAGCGTTTTCCCTGTGATCCATCTTTAAGATGAAACAGGCCCATGGCCAGAACCGCTAGCACTGTGAGAAGGGAAAACAGAGGAGAATCCATCAGGGACACACTTCCGGAGCTGGATTAGTTACTTTCTTCAAATAGATTTGATTTGTTCTTGGGTTAAGTGGATCTGCATGCAGCGAGTATTTACTGGCTCTAGTAAATGCAGAGGATGAACCGTTTGGTTAATGGAATAAGTTTTTACATAGTTTAGGCAAGTCTTTCAGAACTTTTTGTATTACAATCTCATGACCTTTTCAGTTTTGCAAAAATTTTTTGACCATTTAACCCTTCACATACACAGTCTTTTCCTGGGTTATGTTCAGAACGGCACACTAAAAGCTTAATTAATTAATTATCTATATTATACACAATACACTGCCTACTATTTTTAAAGTCTTTTCATGGGAGTAGATGGGCACTGAGTGTTATTTTTTCACAATTTGCTTGTTGCAATTCACTGATTGGTGGAGATTTACCTGCAGAATCATGGGTAATGTAGTTTTTCACTGAGAAATCCACTGAAATCTTATACCATCAAAAAATAAATACTGTGACAAATATTACTTACCATTAATTATTCACTCTGGAAATTGAAGGTCAAGTCGAACATGTTGCACTGTGGGATTCAGTGCTCAGTGCAGTGTGGTATTCAGTGCTCAGTGCAGTGTAATGTAGTAGTAGGTCATCCAGGTATTATATGCATAGTGCATAGTGTAGTATGCTATTCTGAACATAGCCATAGTCATCCTCATCTTTATCATTTTCTGTCCCTTTTTCTCACACACACACTCAATTGTTCACTGCTGAGACAGTTTGGGGTCAGGTGTGCAGCACCTGGTCTCATTAGTACCCAGACTTCTGCGACCCATTGTGGCTTTTTAATGACACCATAAGCCCATGTTAAATATGACACAGATACAAGCCACTAAGCAAATGATCGTGGCTCTGTGTGTGATAGAGAGGCGCTGCACTACACTACCGGCCAAAAGTTTGGAATAATTTAGATTTTGAAAGGTTTTTGAAAGAAGTCTCTTTTGGTCATAAAGGTAAAAATATCAAATTGTTAAGTATTTTTACATCTTAAAAAAGCTGTGTTCTATTTAAATATATTTTAAAATGTAATTTATTCCTGTGATCAAAGCTGAATTTTCAGCATCATTATCCCAGTCTTCAGTGTCACATGATCTTCAGAAATCATTCTAATATTCTGATTTGTTGCTCAAGAAACATTTCTGATTATTATCAGTGTTAAAAACAGTTGTGCTGCTTCATATTTTTGTGGAAACCATATTTAATTTTGTTTCAGCATTCTTTAATGAATCGAAAGTTCGAAAGAACAGCATTTATTTGAAATAGAAATCTTTTCTAACATTATGAATGTCGTTATTGTGACTTCTGATCAATCGTTCTTGCTGAATAAAAAGGTATTGTATCCAGGGTTTTTTATGTTTTATGTATAGGGCTGTCAAGTGATTATTTAAAAAAAAAATCTAATTAATTAATAGTGTGCGATTAATTAAAGATAAAGTTATTATTAAAGATAATAGTTATCATTGTCTTAATTTATAAAAACACTGAATAGACATTACAAAAAAGTAGCTTTAGAAAGAAATATTTTAATTCAAAATACAAAAATACAAATAAATAGTTGATTTGTTGCTCAAGAAACATTTCTGATTATTATCAGTGTTAAAAACAGTTGTGCTGCTTCATATTTTTGTGGAAACCATATTTAATTTTGTTTCAGCATTCTTTAATGAATCGAAAGTTCGAAAGAACAGCATTTATTTGAAATAGAAATCTTTTCTAACATTATGAATGTCGTTATTGTGACTTCTGATCAATCGTTCTTGCTGAATAAAAAGGTATTGTATCCAGGGTTTTTTATGTTTTATGTATAGGGCTGTCAAGTGATTATTTAAAAAAAAAATCTAATTAATTAATAGTGTGCGATTAATTAAAGATAAAGTTATTATTAAAGATAATAGTTATCATTGTCTTAATTTATAAAAACACTGAATAGACATTACAAAAAAGTAGCTTTAGAAAGAAATATTTTAATTCAAAATACAAAAATACAAATAAATAGTGAAATAAGAAATTATTTAAAAAAAGAAACAATACTCTAAATAAAAAATTAAAAGCGCCAGTAGGTGGTGGCAAATCCCTATCTTAAAGGGGTCATATGATGCTGCTAAAAAGAACATTATTTTGTGTATTTGGTGTAATGAAATGTGTTTATGCGGTTTAAAGTTAAAAAAACACATTATTTTCCACATACTGTACATTATTGTTTCTCCTGTATGCCCC